CCGGGTGACCCAGAGCCCCACAGCAGCCAGCCTCCTGAGGTCAGGAACACCACGTCACAGGGGATGAAGGGGCTGAGGAGGCAGCAGGGGAGGGCCGCGGTGGCAGCACCCTGCAGGAGCTCGGGGTCCGTGGAGGCTTAAAGGGACTCCCCCAAACGAGGAGGGTCAGAGGTGCCCCCAGGAGTGTGCTGGGGCTGGCTCCCTGGGGAGAATCCAAACGGGGCGGGAGCCGTGAGTGTGCAAGGACCACGTGGCGACCTGAGGGCCTGGGCCCCCAGGGAGGGGACCAACCTCCCAGCAGGTGCTCAGGAGCCTCTCATGGGGCCACCGGGCCTGGCAGCTGCTGCACAGGGCTTGCGGCTGGCACCTGTCATAACTGTGCCTTTGGTCTTTGCGGTTCCGGGCACATTACTCCTAAAACCCTTGGAATCTCTGAAATGGTGAGGGTGTCTTCTGTCTGCTAAGAAGACGACCAGTGGCTGGGGGACCCTAGACAGTGTCAGGACAGGGGCTGATCACCCGAAAGACCCAGGCATAACTAGAAACTGGGAACTTTCAGTTCCATTCTCTCCAGGGAGGGGAGAGAAGAGGCTGGAGATGGAATGAATCCCCAAGGGCCAATGATTTAATCAATCACACCCATGTAATGAAACCTCCAGAAAACCCCCGACGAGGGGGCTCAGAGAGCTTCCAGGGCGCTGGGAGGCCTGCACACCAGTGAGGATGGAAGCCCCTTCTTTTGCCGCCCGCCCCATGCATCTCTTTCACATGGGTGTTCCTGAGCTGTGTGCTTTATAGCAGATGCTGGTAAGTAAAGCGCCCCCGTAACCTCTGTGAGCTATTCCAGCAAGTTATCAACCTGAGGAGGGGTCTGTGACCCATGTCTGAAGTGGTACAGTCTTGTGGGACTGAGCCCTTGACCTACACAAACTCTAGGTAGTGTCAGGAGTGGATTAAATTGTAGGACACCCAGCTGGTGTCCAGAGAATCAGAGGATTGCCTGCTGTGAGAAAAAGCCCACACCTCTGGTGTCAGAATTGTCATGAGTGAAAACAGCTCAGGGTGCCCCAGAGAAGACCTGGGGGCCTGAGAGGACAGAGGTCAGGGCACACGGGGACAGAGAGACAGAGGATATGGTCCCAGAGGATGGGCTCAGTGCCTGGACAGACTGGGTCCAAATCCCAGCTCTGGCTTTAGCTGCGTGCCCCGGGGGATGAGGATGAACCTCTCTGGCAGGCCTCGGTCTCCTCATCTGTAAGATGGGTATCTTACAGTTCTCGCTCCTCCCAGGCTGCTCCAAGGTTGTGCAGCGACATCGCATCTGTAAGCATGCGGTCTGGAAAAACAGGTCAGTTCTCCAGCAAGGGATGACCCAACCAGCAAAGTCTAGGGCAGGGGAGCGGTCGTGGCAGGGAGGCCTCATTCTGGAATATACCAGCTGTTGGACGCCAGGTGAACTACAGTCCTCCTGTACAAAGCTCCTCACTGTGAGCCAAGGCCTGTGCTCTCAACGCTGGCACCAACTCATTTAATCCTCACGACAAGCCTGCAAAGTGGCTGCCATAACTACCCCATTTTGCTGGGGAGGAAACTGAGGTTCAGAGAAGCCAAGCCAGGAGGCTGACTCTTTCCCACTGCACTATCTTTCCTTACCGGGTTATTACATGAATCAAGTCATAACAAAAGTCACAAGAGGTACAGGTACTTCTGAAAGCATCAAACGCTAAACCAATATTAGCAGTAGTTGTCATTACTGCCATCACAGTTCAAAAATCCTGAGTCCAGTTACAAGGCCTGAAATCTCCCCACAGGGACAGATATGGTTTTTAAAAACAGAATTAGGACTTTCAAAACAAGTTAAGGAAGTCAGGCGTGCTGGGAGGGGAGCATCGTTTTAATGGGGGGAGAAAAAAATCTGATTAATGGAAATGATTCTTAATATATTTCAAAATGATCTGTTATGACACAAAGTCAAGACATTTATATACGACTTTGAAATTCTTAATAGCTGATTTCAGAGCAACCTATTATGAAATCTTCCAAAGCAGAATATATTGTAAGTAAATCACCGGGCAGGCCTCCCAGGCAGCTCCTCTTAAAATAATTTATAAGGTGGGGTGGGGAAGGCAGGCAGGAGTTATTGCCATAATCATGTATTAATAAAGTATTTATAAGTGACTTTCTCTTTTACTGTCACAGGTATGAGTCCCAAGCCCACATCAGAGGGGGTGCCCCGTGAGCCCTGGGGAGATAAGAGTCAGGCATCAAACTTGCCTGGTGGCAGCTTAATAGACCTGGGGCTCCCTCAGCCTCTGTCCTGCGGCATCAGAGGCAGAGTGGGTTCCAGTGTGACTTCAGGGAGCCCTGTCTTGCCCTCTCCCTAGGCTTTGCTGAGTGCTGGGAGGGAGGGAGCCAGCCTGTCTGAGCTGAGTGCAGCTGAGAGGCCCGTGGCTGACACCCTGGAGAGTCAGCTAACCCAGGCTCAACAGCACAATCTGATGAAGGACTGCCCCGAGCCGGAGTCATGGACGACCTGTCCGCCACTCCCGGTGCCTCACTCCGTCTCTACTACCCCATACATGTCCCCGGCCTGTCACTGCAGGCACCTACCTATCTGCACCCCTCTGCTTTCCTGGCTGCAGGAACATGCTCAGCTCAGGCATGGGGCAGGCCGGAAGGGCAGGGGTAACACGCCCCAGGTGCAACCTTCAAGCAGGCAGAAGCAGGTGGTGGTGGATCAACATCCCGGCTCCCTCGCCCTTCGGGTAATACACAATGAGGAGACATGCTCTTCAGAATTTCCCAGAGGTCCCCAGAGAGACTGACCCTTCACTTCCCAAAGCTAATCCACTTGGCTTTTTATTTTTATTTATTTATAAAAATGTCTTAAATGTTTATTTAGTTGCTCTGGCTCCTAGTTATGGCACAAGGGATCCTTGATCTTCATCACAGTGTGCAGGGTCTTTAGTTGCAGCATTTGGGGTCTTTAGTAGAGGCATGACGGGTCTTTTAGTCGAGACATACAGGATTTAGTTCCCTGAGCAGGGACTGAACCCAGACACCCTGCCTTAGGAGCTCGGAGTCTTAGCCACTGGAATACCAGGGAAGTCCCTAATTCACAAATTAACGCCCCAGCATCACCCACTTTTCCCTCCCTCATTCCCCTCTTGGTTCTTCCTGATATCCCCTCCCCCAAAAGCTACACACACCCAAATCTTCGTCTCAGGTTCTGCCTCAGGGGGAGCCCAGTTTAATACAGCTTTCTCTTCCTTATTCCATTCAATCCTTACACCAACCCCAGTCTTGGCCCATTGAAAGAGAAGCCTCTGAAGCTTGGAGAAGTTTGCTTTTTAAATCACATCTGCCTCACTCAAGAGCCCATACTTCTGGGGTTTACTGCACCTGGATCTTCAGAGCCTCAGTCTTCCATTCTGTAAAACAGGCCTGTTTCCTTCCACACCCCCGTCAACCTATAGATGCCTGTTCCCCAACTCTAAATCTTCAACAGCTCTTCTGGTCTGAACTGTGCAGTAGTGTCCCCAATCCCAGCCTGTTTATAAAGCTGTCTGATTTACAAACAATCAGGTCAGGACATAGAGCATACCCCACGGCTGATTTTTGGAAAAGGCAAATGGCATTTGTTTTTTCTATGTTTGTATAGTCAGGCATGCCTGCCTTTGGCCTGGACCAACTGTGGAATTGCCACCTTACCTATTTCTGACTCAGCATGACTTCTAGAAATGTCCAAAATCAAATCAGCACACCAGTACATGCAGCTCAAGAGTATGAAAATCAAAAGGACAGGCCACAGGGCCCAGGGGGATGGCGGTGGAGGAACCACGTGCTGCCATGTTCCAAAGAAGTCTGCTGCCTCCCAGAGGAAGGGCCCGGAACGCCCGCCAGTGTCAGCACACAGCTCCAGACAGGCACCGTGCATGCCTGTGTCAACCCCAACTGTATGTTCTGGGCCCAAAGGAAGCCACTCTCTAGAGGAAAGAGCTAGACAAGGACACGGTCATAACACAGGGCACCATCAGCCCCATGAAGGCAGGAGCCACACGGCTCTGGGTACTGACCATCTCCTTGGGACTTCTCATAGGGACGAGGGAGGTGGCAGAGGAGCCCTGAATGCCAAGCCAAGGGATATCACAAGATGGAGCAGACACGGGAGGACCTCGGGAGGATTCTAAGCAGGTAAGGGCACCGCAGGTCTGTGTTCTAGAAAGGAGCCCAGCGATCGCAAGGGAGGAGGGGAGGCGTCGGCAATGAGGCCACTGCAATAACCCAGGAAGAAAAGACCAGCGAGCTCTTAGTCTACGGTGATGATAGCAAGAAGAGAGAAGTCAGGACAGAAATGCTGTCACGGGAGTATCTACAGGGAAAGGGGGACGACTGGAGGGGCAGGGGCAGTCAGAACCCCTTGGGGAGACCACCGTGAAGGAGGACAGTCAGCACACAGACAGCTCAGGACGGGAGCAAGTCTGGGAGGAGAAAGACAGCTGGGTCGGCTCAGCACACACAGCGGGAGCCTCTCCAAGATGTCCAGACAGAAACACATCACCTCCAGTGCAGGGACCCAGCCTTCTCTCACCTGTTCCAGGGCGTCTCTTCACAGCACAGTGGCTACTAGCTACATGTGGCTATGTAAATGTATGTTAATTAGAATTTAATACAATGGAAACATTCCTCAGTTGCAGCAGCTACACGTCAAAAGCTCAGTGGCCACGAGCAGCGAGCAGCCATCCTACTGGACAGAGGAGCTCCCAGGCATCGCAGAGGTCCCACTGGACAGTGCTGGGCTATGAGACTTGCTTGAAAAATCAGCTCCGCTTCCTTCCCAGCACGCCTGCTTCTGTAGCTGAGCGGAGAGCAGCCCCAGAGACACAGAGGACAGCACACTGGCACCGTCCGTGTGACACTCACGGACAGAAGGGCCTTGGCAGGCACCCATCAGTGGAGACAGCCGGCAGTCCAGGTGAGCTCAGCTGGGAGGCACGTACCTTTGCAGGCCCCCGCCGCGCCCAGGTGGTAGATGGCTGCCAGCACCCGCCAGATGGCCCTCTGCTCGCCGTCTGAAATGCCCAGCGTCTCCATGGCACCCTGGAGCTGCGCGAAGGCGGCCGCTGCCCTCTGCTTGTCTTCAGGCTGAGAACAAGGGGAGAGAGGGAGACAGACTGTCACGGTGGATGAAACGCAAGCTTGCAGCAGGAAGCGGGGCTCGGTCTCAGGGGAATGTGTGGACATTTTATGACCACAGTAAATTACCTGCGATTAAGTTGGGGAGTACCGACACACGGAACTCAGACTGCCGGGAAAGTTATAACAATCATTTCTGTCTGACTTCAGACAGCATGTGATTTTTATTCGTTCGTGTGTTCACTCAATAAGATTTATTGAGGCTCTGCACTGTGCTGGACTCTGGGGAGGCAGACATGGGCGAAACCCAGAACTTGACTTTGAGGACCTTTCAAGGTAGAAGTGGAAAGAGATGTAAAAACAACTAAGTGTGAGACAGGGTAAGCAGGGGACTATGGGATCTGAGAGGAGGGCCAGGCTGATTCATTCTGCCCAAGAGAGTCAAAGAGGGTGTCACAGAAGATGAGACAAAATTGGAATGAAATCTGAATGGCAAATAGGCAGAGCTGCCCAATTTGATAGAACAGAGGCCTGGTGGGTGGGGGGACAAGGAGAACAAAAGAGGTCTCTGGAGAGAACTGGTGGTCATCTGAACATGGCCAGGGAAGCAGGGATTTCTGGAGTGGGGCAGACAGAGGAGGGGTGGATACACACATGAGAAGCTGGCCGGTGCCAACAGGGAAGGCCTCAAACCCCATGTTAAAGGGCACAGGCTCAAAACTCCTACCATGACAGACAAAAGTATACCCATGTTTCCATTCCTGGACCCGAGGCAGACATCACTAATCAATGAAGATCCCACAGGGAGTCCAGACTCTCTTCAGGACACTCCCTTTTGCAGCCCCCACTAACTGACCTGCCTCAGCAACTGAGATAGATCCTGTCTGCCATCCGCAGGGCAAGCGATAGGCAACCGCCAGAGATTTTTCAGCAGGAGGGGAGAGAAAATGGTATGATCATATGTTTATGGGTAGCAGGGTATCGCTTTTTCTTTCCCAGATTTACGATCCCAATTATGTCTGATTGAATATTAAAATCAGTCTGAAACTCCTGCACACACACACACAGCATCTGGCCAAGAAGACTCAACTCCTGAAGCCTGCTGGGTGGAGAGGAAGTGAGCTGATGACGAGAATTCTTTTGTTGATAATCCTCCAGCAGATAATGAGGAACTAAATTGCACCTGGCCTGCTCACAGAGCTTGGGTGATGAACTGTAAGCTGTCAAAGCTGGCAAGTCCTTGGATCTTAGGGATTCAGAGAGGGGACAATGGTTGCCCCAGGTCACAGAGCAAATTAGTACCAGATTCAGGGTAAGAATCGGGTTTCGCTGACTCCCTGCCCAGGCCACTTGTCCCCTCCACTCAAGCCACTTCTTCTAACTGGGAAAGAAACCCGCAAGGATCATCGACCAATTGGGATGACGTCAAAGCTCACAATGACATTGAGGGATGTGCTACAGGAATGTTTCAATTAACAGCAAAAGCATGTTCCACTGATCCATCATATTTCTGGGCCACCACAGGACCACAAAATCCCTAGCAACCAGGAACTCAACCTAGCAACCACAGCTGCTCCGCTGGAGCAAACGGAGGAAGGGAAGGCATCTTACCAACATGCTCTTGGTTATTTATGAGATTTCAAAGTAGCAGAGAAAGGACACCAAAAGGACAGAGGCGACACATTTATTACAGCTCCCACTGTTAGCCATGAGCATTTGACTTTCAATTAGAAGCAGACTCCATCATCTGCCACTTAGCTCACACAAACAGAAGAATTAGAAAACTTCCACTGAAGCTTCCGTCCATCTTCTCCTCTGCTTCCCGCCTCCCCTGGTGATGGAGGGATGAATGTATGTGCTTCTGATCTAAAATACTTAGGATCAGGAGGATGTTTACTGCTCCCTCAACTTCCAGGGAGCCAGACACCTCTGCATAATGCCCTGAAAAAAAGCCAGTCCCGCCTCAAAATTGAGAAAACAGAAATCAGTCAGGTCGGCGGAACAGACCAACTCACAGCCAGAACGTCTACCAAGAGGAGACTGGATAAAGAGTGGATGGTCCAGGCAGGGCGGAGTGGTGGAGCACCACACAGCCATGAGAAAGATCGCATCACTGATCATGCGAGCACGTGTGTGAACCCCACATGAGTCAGAGGAGCCACATACAAAACACCACGCCACGTGTGATACTGTTCACGTGAAGGCCAAATGCAAGGAGCACTGCCCTCTGGGAAGAGAAGTCAGGAGGATGACGTGGGTGGGAAGGATGGTTCTGATCCAGTGGTGGCTCCAGGGAGCCTTTGCTGGAATGAGGAATGTTCTATATGGTGATCCAGGGTGGGGTTGCAGGTGTAAGGATATAACCATCGCTGAGTGGTACACTGAAAATGAGTGCTTTTATACACTTGACCATATGGCTCAACTCAAGACAGAAAAATCAATTAAAAATGTAAAAGCCAACTCAGAAGGTGCCCAGGGTTTGTCTGATGCAATCAGACTCAAGGTCAACCCAAGATGGCAGGTCACTTAGAAGAATAAAATCCAAGATATTCTCTGCACATTCAACCAGGCTATGCTTAGAGCAGTGGGAGGTTCTGACCATGCAGAGGCCAGATCCAGACCTGGAAGCAGACAGAACTGCACATGCCCCTAGCTCTGTGCCCCCAGGAGTGTGACAGCACAATCTCCTGCCCTTGCATCGGAGGCTCAGTTTCCACCAACCCTGCACCTAGGTCACTGCAAGGCCTGAATGAGGACATGTGCAAAGCACCAGCACGGTGCCCGGCACACAGTGGTGCCTTTGCCCAGGCTGTCTGGCCTTCCAGGGTCGCCTCCCCCAGCGCTGTCCAGCAGCCCCGGCAGGCAGATCGCCGCAGCCTGTCCTGGGGGCTCCCAGTCCAAGGAGGGAGACACACAGATGCTGATGGCACAGGGTGGGCGCTGGGCCTGGGGCAAGGCGCGGAGCTGGCGTTGGGAAGGAGTGGTGAACAGAGCAAACAGCATGAGCTCAGGGAAGTGGCTGCTGGGTGGGGAGGCGGGCGGGGTGTCCTAGCGGAAGCGCACAGTGAAGGACAGGGCGTGCTGGGTGCCGAGCACCCCGAGGATGGACGTGCAGGCCTCTCTCATGGGGCCGGGGCAGCGGGCACCCGGGGTCTGCAGCCGGGTGCTGCTCTCTGGGGAGGGCGTGGCCCTGGGGGCCTGCAACTCGGTCCCCTGGGGACAAGAACAGGGTGGGGCCAGGGGCCCACTCTGCTTCACAGGGGTGCACATCGCACGCCCTCCTCCAGACCCAGGGCGGGCTCCCCGGGGTCCCCACAGCCCACCAACCAGGAGGGCCCCCACCCCTCCACCCTTGGACCTGGAGCGGCTCTGGAGGGAAACACTGAACACAGCCTCGCCTCATCTGCGAAAGGAACATCGGCGAGCCTGACGGAGACCGCGGGGAGGGCAGGACAGGTCCGTCCAGAGCCAGGGCTCCTGGTATCTCAACACTGACGGGCCTGCGTCCCTCCAGGTGCCGAAAGCACACTTAAGGAGGCAGGAAAGAAGGGCTGCCCTAGGAGCTTTTTTTACCCTGCCAGGCAGCCTCAGTCTCTCCAACCGTCGGAGGAGGAAACTGAGGCTCAGAGAGGGTGAGACATGTGCCCAAGGCCACGTGGTGGGGACGGGCAGAGTCACCACACCCTAGAGTCGCTGCTGAGCCCCAACCCTAGGAGCAGACCCAGGAGCTGGGTGCTGCCCTGCCCACTCCATGGGGTAGAGATTGAAGCTGACAGAGAAGTGACCCAGGAGTGCACAGCAGGTCACATCCCAGAACACACACGGCCTTCGCCTAGGGCTCAGGTCTGCGGTGATGTCAGGGGACACATGCGTGCCAGTTTGGAGTCAGGCCAACCTGGATTCAACAGACATGAACTTGAGCAGACTCCAGGAGACAGTGAAGGCCAGGGAAGCGTGGCAAACTGCAGTCCACGGGGCTGCATAGTCAGACAGGACTGAGTGACTGAACAACGACGACCTGGACGTCAGTCCCGCCTCTGCCACTCAAAAGCTGTGTGCCCTTGGGCAAGGAGCTTCACCTCCCTGAGCCTGGCTACTCCTCCTGGAAAACAGATGTGATCTTAATCCCCTCTGTCAAAGGGGCCTTGCGAGGATTAAGTAAGAGAAAGCTCCGGGCAGAGCCCCTGGCAGGAGCACCACAGTCCCCAATCTTCTGTCTGGAGCACATTCCTCCACAGCTGATGCCTGGGTCACAAAAAATAAATGTGCCTCAGGCCGAAGCCTGGCTGCTGACAGCCAGGAGCAAACTGCTGGGAGGCAAGGATTATTACTATTATTATGATGATGATGACCGCCACTGATGGTACTTATTTTTTAAAAAATCAGCCTAGGTTGTGGAAAAATAAATTACAGAGAAGAAGAAAATAATATGAAAGCTTTGTGATTTCAAATGTGTCCTGGTGCCCCAGCAGATCTCAAACAAGTTCCATTTCAGAGCTGAGATGTGGCGGGTTGTGGGAGGGGCGGGGCGGGTGGCGCTGCGCAGGGCCCAGAAGGGGAAGCTGGCGGTCGGCCAGCAGCAGCAGTCCCGGAGGGCCGCTCCTCCTGGACCCTGCTCCAGCTGACAGCCCCCACCCCCACACCCTCACCCTGCACTCTACTGCCTGCCTGCCTCTCCCCCTCCGTCACCTCTGCATCAGGGGCTCAGGAAGGCTGGCCTCCCTGCACCTGACTCACTTCTCTCTCAGGAGATCAGCTCATGCTCACGTCCTCCAGGCAGCCTTCTCTGATACAACTTCAACCCTCCATGACTGCCTGTGCAACGTTCAGGACACACTTTAAGTTAAAAAAAAAAAAAATTATTCGATGTTTATCTGAAACTCTAATTTAACTGGGCATCCTGTTATGTTTCCAGTTTTTGTGAATCATGATTGACAAATGAGTACGGTCTATTTTTAGGTGTGCAATGTGAGGATGGGATACATGCACACGTTGTGAAGTGATTGCCACGGTGAAGTTAATGCATGCCTCCATCACCTCACAGTTACCATTTCTTGGTGTGTGATGAGATCACTGAAGATCTACCCTCCCAGGACATTTCAAGTGAACAGTAAGTGTTAATAATACAATCACCACTGTCCTACATCAGTTACAAGATGAATACATGCAGGCATCCAGCATTTCTCTTTGCTGACTCTGCTGACTTTAGGGGCTTCAGCGTGACGGAGCAGTTCTCACTCCTGGGGGCATTTTCTGAGCACCGAATTCCTTTACTGAGATGATACCTGGATGGCCCAATCCCAGAAAATGAGCCCAGGCTTGCATCAAAGGCCAATGAGCTTCCAGATTCTATTTTTGCTCTTAGAGAACAAAGAAAACACTCTCTCTGTACCTGCCAGGTAGCAGGACAAGAACAAAGAACTACCCTACGAGTTCCCACAGATCAACTGGTCTAAAAAAACAACTCTCAGAAACACAGAAAAAAGAAAACCACTTCAAACTCCTCCTGGATATGGGTTCACACTGCGCCCATTCCTGTGTGCAGACTGTGAACAAACAGGTCAGGCCGGGAAGCTCACAGGGGCCTGGCTTGAGCCTTTTTTGTCCTCAAAACCAAGAAAATAAACCATCATGCTCTTGCTGGCCCAAGTTCATTAAAGGAAGCCCAGCACTGGGGCAGCCACGCATCCTTTGCCGTCCAGGGTAGGGTCTGGGCTGCCCAGGCCCCCCAACCAGGGCAGAAGGGGCCTGGATGAAGACCATACTGCAGGTCCCCTCGAGGCAGGGGCAGCAACGGCAAGGTGAGGCTAGGGGAACCGCATCGCCCCACTCCCTCTCACCCTGCCCACTGTTGAAACAGACTTGCTGACCCTGCTTCTCAAGGCGGGGTCCCTGGACCCCCAGCCTCAGCATCACCTGGGGACTTGTGAGACATGCAGACTGTTAGGTCCCGGCCCAGGCCTACTTAGTCAATAACTGCAGACAGTACCCAACAGAGAGAGAGGGGGACAGAGAGAGAGCGAGCCTTACTGAGGCGTAACTGACAAAAACAAACCACTCGTCTTTAAGTATAACGTGATAAGCTTTGACATACACACAAATGAAAGCATCAGTGCTAAAGAAAATGGACGCATCCCTCAGCCCCAAAAGTTCGCTTTCACATAACTCTTTCTTCCCCTTTCTGCCCTCACCCAATGCCCAGTCAACCACTGACCTGCCTGATGTCACGGCAGGTTCATCTGCACTTTTCAGAGGTTCACATAAATGAGATCATTCAGCTGTACTCTTTCATCCCAGATTTTTCACTCAGCACAGTTATTTTGATCAGTACTTCTTTATTATTGAGGAGCATACTATCTTTATGGATATTCCACAATGAATTCACCCACTCACCTGTTAATAGACATTTTGGATAGTTTCTGGGTTTTGGCTATCACAAATAAAACTGCTAATGAACTCATGTGAAAAAGTGGATGCACACGTCCATTCTCCTGCATAAACCCCTAGGAGTAGACTGGCACCCCATGTGGGAGGTAAACACTAAACTTTGTGAGAGACGGTTTGCCAAGATGGTAAGAGACTTCTTCCACTCCCACCTGCAAGGTTATGAGAGCTCCAGGTACCCCAGATTCTCACCAGCACGTGTTATGCTCCATCTTTTCAAGTGTAGGCACTCTATGTATCGTGTCGTGGTATTTCATCGTGGTTTTAAATTCCTTTAATTACTAACTTATATTGTACACGCTTATCTGCCATCTATGTAATCTTCTTTGGTAAAACTATGTGGAAATTCTTCTGCCCATCTTTTTTGTCAGGTTGTTTTATTTATGAGTTCTGAGAGTCATTTATATATTTTGGATTCAGAGACTTCCTCACATATGTGATGTGCAAGTATCTCCTCCCAGTCTGTGGCTTGTATTTTCATATTAACAGTGACACTCAAACAGCAAAATTCTTAATTTCAATGAAGTGCAGCTCACCGACTTGTTCTCTCGGGGGCTGAACTTTTAATGTCACACCTATGAAGTCTCCACTCAATCCAAAGTTACTGAAACTTTTCTCCTGTTTTCTTAATTTTACAGTTTTAAGTTTTACATTTAGGCCTAGGATCCATTTTGGTTAATTTTTCTATATGGTGTGAGTTCTTGTGGATTGAAATTCTTTTTTTTTTTTTTTTAATTTGCATGAGGATGTCCAATTATTCCAGCACCCTTTGTTTCCCCAACATGTATGTCTGGAAAAAAAGCTTAGGAATAGAAATGATCATTCCCCTCCACCTGGTGAACTACTCATTCTTCAAAACCCAGGTCAGATATCCTCTTGACTAAAGAAGCCTTCCCTGACTGAGACCAAGTAGCTTTCAACTATCCTCTGTTACAGAGAATTTTGTACAGACTCTGGCACATCCTTATCTCACATGACTGCATTAATTCCCAAGTCGTTCTCTCCTGACCAAGTGAAAATTCACAGATGAGGACCATAATCCCAGCATTTAGCACAGGCATGACACAGACAGTGATAGTAGGAGTGTGGGGGTGGGAGGTGACTCAAAGTAACTTTTAAAGTATAAAAAAGTAAATAAAACAAGTGAATAATCTTCTTTCTTAAACAACTGAATACCAATTCTCCAGGCCCTGGTCATAGGCCCCACCTTCCGGGAAGTCATCTCTGACCTCCCCTTCCCACACTAAACATCATTAACAGTATTTCCTAGGAGAATCACGTCTGACTGACGTGATCCGAGCCCAGGGCTAGGTGCTTCATGACATCCTTTCCTTTAATCCTCACAACAGGTCCACGAGGAGATACCACTTCCACCGTCATTTTACCAAAGAGGAGACAGATGTCCAGAGAGGCTAGGACCCATGCCTGAGGTCATACATCCAGTAAGTGTCAGAGCGGGGGTTTGAATCTAGACAGCCTGTCCCAGAGCCCACACTCTTACCTCTACACAGATCATCTCTTGGTTCCCGTTATTTGTACAAGACTCATTTCCCCGACAAGCCCAGGCCCCACAAAGGCAGTCCTGCCTCCCCCATGTGACCAGCCCTGGCCAACTCTGCACCCCAGTGGCAGAGGGACCCCTCGCTCATGGGGACACAAGACCACTCACACCCAGAAGGGCTTCCTCCTTACCTTAGGCCACAGGCCCATGCCGAAAGAGCTGCTGTCCGCCATCTGGTGCAGGTACAGGTCTGTCCTGGAAACAGAAGGGGCCAGAAGTAAGGGGGGACGTGCCCACACTGGTGGTCCGGGAGAGCAGGTGATCATCATGGTGTGGGGCTCCACACAATGCCCCAGGTGGCCCCAGCGCTGGCCTAGGGCCCTGGCCCCACTGCCCAAATATTCCTCACTTGCTGCCCTCCCCGGGCCCTTCCTAAGGGAAGGCCTTCCAGAAGCTTCCTTACTCCGCAGCTACCCTGCTCTGAGGACTGAGAGCTTCCTCTCTCATCTCTCTGAAGGGTGCAAGTGTCCCTCTGACCTTCTCAGGAGGCTCAGGACAGGCGGAGCCTCTCCCTCAAATCAGGGAGGAAGGCAGGAGACAAACAGTGGGGGACACAGAGGGGACCTCGCCTGGGGTAAGCAACCTCTCAAGCCTCATGGGAACTTTGCTCCTTCTCTCTGCAGATGAGGAGACCGAGGCTCAGAGACAGGGAGCCACGTGCCCAAGGATGAGGAAACCGAGGCTCAGAGACAGGAAGCCACGTGCCCAAGGACACCCAGGAGTCAGGGAGGGGCAGAAAGGGCTCCCCAGGCCACCTCCTTCAGGAGGCCCTCCGAGATGCGGCTCCTGGCTTCTCGGCTGGCTATTCCACCCGGTGCCTCCTTGCCCTGAGATACCTCAGGTGCAGCCAGGGCTCTCACAGAGTCGAGGAACTTCTGCAAGGTTTGGGGTCTGCTGTTCCTCGCCCACCTCCGAAGCTGCTGTCAGAGCCTGGACCAAAATACCAGCACCAGAGTAGACATCCTCCACACCCCAGCATGGATAAACAGCCGTACGTGAAGTATCTCACTTAATCCTACAAGGTCAGTCAAGGTACTGCTTCCACTTCACAGAGTAAGAAACAGCGGTTCAGAGCAGATGACACCTGGCCAGGTTCCCCAGCTGGGAGCAGTCCCAGGCAGCTGGAATCAGAGGCCAGGTTCCTCACCACTGGGCTCCACTCGGCTCTGGGTAGAGCTGGGGCTGGGCCCCGGGAGAGCCGACACCCTCTGTCTCACTGGCCTCGGCTGGCCCCACCCAGCCCAGTTGCTCACCTGAGATCCAGGTCCAACCCAGCTAGCATCTGGGAGAAAACCTCGAAATTGCCTTCCCCTTCTGGCTGCCGGGCCACACGGCTCTTCTCCAAAAGCATTGTCTGCCAAGGAGAGGAGAGACACCCGGTCACCACGAGGCCACTAGGCTGCCCCACCCAGACCCACTCAACTGCCTGAGGCAACATTTCAGGCCCCAACTTGGCTGGACACCTCCGAATCGGAACAGCCGGGCCCTGGTCTTATTGATTCAGATTCCGCAAAGGGAATTAACAAATGCTCTTTGATTAAGGAACTCCTTCTGATTAAGGAATCCAAAGGCAATCACAATTATTGTACGTAAGAGTCACCCTCCAACATACTCTCATATAACGGAAGCCTGTAATAACTCGACCCAAATGATGATGAAGGCGAGAATTCCAGGGCCAGTTCGGAAAGGGGATTTATTTGGCACCAGTGAGTCTGGATATTATCCCAGCTCCACATACAAACAACCCTTCTAATAACCTAATCCTATTTTCTGTTCAAACAGAATGTTTGCGGAGAGGAAGGGGAGGGGCCGGGCAATTTTGGAGATGGGAACAAACAGGCCATGTGCTCGTCACACATGAGCTGCCGCGGAAGGCCGGAGAGTGTCTGTTTAATTTCAGCTTACACTTTTAAGAGCCAACTAATGAGCAGCTGAATTATATATTTACTCATGAATATTTCATCCTTGTGATACTCCAAGATGCAGACAGGCCAGTTCGCTCCGGGACGGGATGTGGGGGCACTGAACGAGGTGGAAAGGACCTGGCCAGGGCCTGGGGAGCGATGACCATTTAGACACATTCCAGGGTCCCTGCTGGAGGCACGGGCCCTGCTCAGTGGGGCTGGGGACCCTGCAGCTCTGGGGACTCCCTCCCTCTCCCACCCAGAGGCCTCACCTGGAGCTGGGCAGCCGTGACTCGGCCTGTGGCGTTGAAGTCCAGTGACATCACCATGGCGAACCGGGTGGCACTGCGGCTGTGGCCAGTGGACACAGAGCCGAAGGCCCGGAGGACGGTGAAGGCAGCTCGAATCTTCTCCACTGTGGGGACATGGGTGGGGCATCACACACGGCCCAGTCACTGCCACCCCTGCCTCTCACAGGACCCCATTCTGGGCCCAGGCCCCAAAGGGACCCCTGCCACCTCCCCAGATCAGCTCCAAGCCATGCCCATTTCACTGCTGGGCTGGCCCTGTGCTGAGAGCAGAAGGGCAGGGGAGCAAGGCTGCGTGAAGACAGGGGGATACACAGACCCCAGACTGCTGCCTTCTGAGTGACAGGGGCTGTCCCAGGGTCTCCTGGACCTGGTGGAATTTAGGAGGAGGTCAGGGCGTTAATATTCTTAGGCCTGCTCTCAGAGGACTCCCCATCACAGCAGGGTTGAAAAGCCCTGCAGTCTTCCCACAACTGTTTACCAAGTTCCTCTCTGTGCCAGGTGCTGCGCTAGGCACCTGGATTCAGCCTAGCCTGACTCCCACCCTCCAACCCACACACACTGTCAGCACACCTACATTCTGCAAGGGCCAAGACTGGTGCCTCTCCCGGCTGGATGCCCAGCTCCTAACCTGTACCAGATACAGAGCAGGTGCTCAATAAAGCACTGGAATAACCCCAGGGAAAAGCAGGATAATACAACAGTTAAGCAAGTTTGAATACAGGATCTCCCTTTTGATAGCTACATGGTTTGGAGCAAATTAACCTTCCTGTGTCTCAGACACCCCATCTATAAGATGGGTAAGTACCTACCTACCTCATTTGGTTGTCATGAAGACTAAAAGATTTAATAACGTAAAGTGCTTAGAACAGGCTTCAAAGGAGGTGCTGTTAGTATTATGTTTGCTATTATACTAAAAAGCAGTATTGCTTGGGCCATATATTCTCAGCAGGGTGAATACTGCCCTCAAGAGGGCAGAAACTGATTCCTGAAGGTGGGGAAGTTTTCCTTTCTTATGTACAGAGCACAGATACACACACACACACATAGACCTAACTGCATAAACAGATACATGGTGAACCTCTGGCATTAAACTTCCATGGTGGGAGGTGATTAGCAGAGGTAACATCTAAAAAGCCCTCAGAGGGGCAACAGTAGGTTGAGAACTCTGGCTCAGGGTACCAGCTCTGGAGCTTTGAATCCTGGCACTAGTCTGTATGAGCCACGTGGTCTGGGCAAGCTGGTTAACCTCTCTGCGTCTTACTGGACTCCTCTATAAAATTCAAATAATAACGATATCTTCCTTACAGGGCTGTTTTAAATAATGAATAAGTTAACCTGTTTGGAATGGGTCTGGCTCACAAGTCCTCAGCAAGCACTCACTACGATCACTACCAATACTGAATTATTATTATCGACTGACGCGCTCTCTGTGGGGCCCAGCTCACACATCACTTCCTCGGGGCAGCCGCCTGCCCCTCCGCCGTGACCCCTCCTCCTCCCGCGACCCTGCCCCACCACGTCGTGGCACAGAGCGCTGGCGTCGGGCACAGACAGGCAGCTGAGCTTCCCTTCTGGCCATCCGCTCCTCCTGAGCACAGGCCCGGCCCCGTCTTTACTCGCCAGGTCCTCTGCACAGTCCAGCGGGCCGTGCACTGCACGAGGACCCCACGTCGACGGGCACAGCATTTGGATCCTACACTCATAGGCCTGCAGTTATCAGGATGCTGGTCCAGGACGCGGCTGTCCAGTGCTTGGTTCTAACAATGACTGGGTGTTGATGACTGACCTGCAGATGGCAGTCGGAGTCTGGAGGAAGGAGGCCTGTCTTCCAATTCACACAGAAGCACCTGGCAGAGCAGGGATGGCCCAGCCCGGAAGCCAGCACAGGGTCTGCACACATGCGCTCAGTGAAGGCTGGCTGACTGGATGCAAGAAAGGCCACCCAGGGCCTCCTCCAACTCTCTCTTCCCTCTTCCTACGCCCCACCCCCTCCATGTCCTGGCTGCACGTCACCTGGTGACCACTATACCTGAGACCCTGCCGTCCACGCTGCCCGCCATCCCCACCAGGTGCTCCAGGACCTGCTCACAGCAGGTGGTCTTGCCAGCGCCGCTCCAGCCCAGCGTCACGATGCTCTGGTCTCTCCGCTGGCTCAGCAGAGCCCAGTACGCCTGCTGGGCCAGGGAGCTGATGTGGGCAGGCAGGCCGTCCCAGCGGTTCCTGGGCACCTGCAGGAAGATCACAGGCGTCAGCCTTCCCAGCAATCCAGAGCCCAGGAAGCACTTCACAACCAGCCTTGAGCTCAGATCCATGTTCCTGCTCCCATCCCACTCCAGACCTAACAGAGAAATTGTATGTTTTTCCGGGGAGAGCCCAGTGTGAAGGTCGAGTCCCATCACTGGTCCCCTGTGAGTCCATGCATAGTCTCGGACCCTGACCTGAGCCTGGGCCTGCTCTTCAACTAATGAGAGGCCTGAACTAGTGCTGAACCAGAGCTGCGTTAGCTCACAGGGTTCATCTCACTTGCTACTATGCAAATCACCGGATTGTACCTGCCTAAACAGAGCAGCAGGATAGACAGCCCAACTGATCAGTGATGCCAGCCATGGAGACAGGATGGGGCGTGGGGAGATGGCGGTACATGTCCTAAGTATTTGCCATAACAGATTTCAATGATGCCTGAAGCTGCCTCCACCTCCTTCATTCCTCCATCCACTCATTCTTCACTCAAAAACAAACGCTCATTGAATGTCTACTATGTAGCAGGCACTGGGGACACAGCATTACTCAAAACAAATTAAGGAAATTTTTGCCCCTTGTGGGGTTCCTGGTGGCACCAGTGGTAAAGAATCCATCTACCAATGCAGGAGATTCAAGAGACATGGATCCGATCCTAGGGTGGGAAGACTGGGGAAAGAAACGGCAGCCCACTCCAACATTCTTGCCTGGAGAATCCCACAGACAGAGCATCCTGGGGGGCTGCAGTGCATGGGGTCGCAGAACGCCGGACACGGCTGAGCCGCTGAGCGCACACACGCTGCCCACTGCGAGCAGACACCTCACAGTTAGACACCTGTTAAAGCAGCTGAAAACGGGCTTTAAATGTCGGGGTTTTTGACACTCTCCACCAAGTTCTGGAGCAGAGGCAGAACAACTAGAGTTCCCCCACAGCGCCGGTGGGAAGGCTCCACGGTAAGGCCTGCCTGGAGGACAGTTTGGCAGCTTCCTTTACAGTGAGATAGCAGAGCAAACCCCACGCCGAGGGATTTACCCACGACAAGTGAGCACCCGTGTCCACCAAAAAGCCCTCTCTCTGTCACTGGCTACACTGGCTATGTATTCAAAATCATAAAAAAAAAACCACCCTAGAAACAACACAAATGTCCTTCAGCTAAAGAGCGAGTAAGGCAACCAATCACCCTAGTTTTGAAACTGGGACAGCGGGTCCCCCTCTGAATGGATAAAGGAAGCTACACAATAGAATAAAAGAACCAACAGCTCAGAGCTGCAACAATATGAGTGAATTTCAAACGTGGGCGTTGTGTGAATTGTGCTAAGTGGAAGAAGCCAATTCAAAAGGTTACATGCTGTAGAGTCCATTTATAGGACTTTTCAGAAAAGGCAAAACTAGGGGAAAGGGACACAGGAACAGATCACAGTGGCTGCCGAGGGCAGGTCATGGCGGAGGGGATATCCACAAGGGTGTAGGAAACTTCTGGGGGTGATGGAACTTCCTGAAATTGATGGGTGGAGGCGGGTACACAATTGTGTTTGCCAAAAACCTACAGAACTGAACGTTAAAAGAGGTGACTTATGTTTTTCCGGGGAGAGCCCAGTGTGAAGGTCGAGTCCCATCACTGGTCCCCTGTGAGTCCATGCATAGTCTCGGACCCTGACCTGAGCCTGGGCCTGCTCTTCAACTAATGAGAGGCCTGAACTAGTGCTGAACCAGAGCTGCGTTAGCTCACAGGGTTCATCTCACTTGCTACTATGCAAATCACTGGATTGTACCTGCCTAAACAGAGCAGCAGGATAGACAGCCCAACTGATCAGTGATGCCAGCCATGGAGACAGGATGGGGCGTGGGGAGATGGCGGTACATGTCCTAAGTATTTGCCATAACAGATTTCAATGATGCCTGAAGCTGCCTCCACCTCCTTCATTCCTCCATCCACTCATTCTTCACTCAAAAACAAACGCTCATTGAATGTCTACTATGTAGCAGGCACTGGGGACACAGCATTACTCAAAACAAATTAAGGAAATTTTTGCCCCTTGTGGGGTTCCTGGTGGCACCAGTGGTGAAGAATCCATCTACCAATGCAGGAGATTCAAGAGACATGGATCCGATCCTAGGGTGGGAAGACTGGGGAAAGAAACGGCAGCCCACTCCAACATTCTTGCCTGGAGAATCCCACAGACAGAGCATCCTGGGGGGCTGCAGTGCATGGGGTCGCAGAACGCCGGACACGGCTGAGCCGCTGAGCGCACACACGCTGCCCACTGCGAGCAGACACCTCACAGTTAGACACCTGTTAAAGCAGCTGAAAACGGGCTTTAAATGTCGGGGTTTTTGACACTCTCCACCAAGTTCTGGAGCAGAGGCAGAACAACTAGAGTTCCCCCACAGCGCCGGTGGGAAGGCTCCACGGTAAGGCCTGCCTGGAGGACAGTTTGGCAGCTTCCTTTACAGTGAGATAGCAGAGCAAACCCCACGCCGAGGGATTTACCCACGACAAGTGAGCACCCGTGTCCACCAAAAAGCCCTCTCTCTGTCACTGGCTACACTGGCTATGTATTCAAAATCATAAAAAAAAAACCACCCTAGAAACAACACAAATGTCCTTCAGCTAAAGAGCGAGTAAGGCAACCAATCACCCTAGTTTTGAAACTGGGACAGCGGGTCCCCCTCTGAATGGATAAAGGAAGCTACACAATAGAATAAAAGAACCAACAGCTCAGAGCTGCAACAATATGAGTGAATTTCAAACGTGGGCGTTGTGTGAATTGTGCTAAGTGGAAGAAGCCAATTCAAAAGGTTACATGCTGTAGAGTCCATTTATAGGACTTTTCAGAAAAGGCAAAACTAGGGGAAAGGGACACAGGAACAGATCACAGTGGCTGCCGAGGGCAGGTCATGGCGGAGGGGATATCCACAAGGGTGTAGGAAACTTCTGGGGGTGATGGAACTTCCTGAAATTGATGGGTGGAGGCGGGTACACAATTGTGTTTGCCAAAAACCTACAGAACTGAACGTTAAAAGAGGTGACTTCAACTGTATGTAAATTAAACCTTTACAAACACATTTTCATATATAAAAAAGCCCTGCCTCTAGAACTTGCTTTCATTTGGGAGAGGACAGGTGATAAACCAATTACATTACACTGAACGGGAGTCATTTTAAAGCCACGAGCCTGAATGAGATCACCAAGGAAGTGGACCTTTCAAGAGGGAGAGAGAAGAGGTGGGGGTGCGGCTGACCTGAAGAGGTCAGGGACCAGCTACGGAGGCTGAGAGGGTGGGCTGGTGGACGGGAGGAAAACCAGGAGAGCAGCATCCCGGGAGCTGAGGGAGGGAGTGGCGGCAGGAGGAGGGGGGACCGGCCCCTGAAGTGCACCCGGGTCAGGTCAGGGGACACCAGGGAGCTGAACAGGGGGCAGCATGGAGATCCCTGGTGACCCTGAGAAACGTCTGCTTAGCATGGTTTTCAGGGAGGATGGGAGATGGAAGCAGAGACAGCAAGGGCAGTGCAAAGGCACCGAAGGGGGCAGGGGCCCAGGCCTGGCCAGAGGAGGCGTCGAAGCCCAGGAGGCTAACTGGGTGACCAGTGGACCAGTAAGGCCCACCCGCCCTCCCCAGTGGCCCGGCAGGACCAGGGGCACAAACCCCAATGGGGCCGCCCTCCCCCAAACCTGGGCCCCCAGTGCACCGTTGGCCATTACAGCCCAAGACCCCCAGGAACAGTGATGAGCCCCATCCTGACACAAAGCAAAAGGCTCAGCAGGACCCCAAAGCTGGGAAAGTAAGACAAGCCCCTCACACTGGCTGGACACGGCCTGAAGGCATAAGGCAGGCACAGGGTCTTAGGGTCTGAGCTCCAAGCCACCTCCCACTTTGGAAACATAAGATCAAGGCCCAGGCTGTCCCAACCGTCAGCCTTCTCAGGCCTGCAGGGGAGAAGGGAGGATCCTGCACACACACACAGATACCTTACACGCTTGCACACGGGCGTGCTCAAGGGCACACATCCCCAAGAGCAGCGGAGGCCTCCGCACACAGGTGCGCTCATCCCCACCCCACAGTCACAGCAGCTCACTCCAGAGGCCTGCACCCCCCACGCACACACCCAGCTCCCAGCAGCTGGGTGGGCCCAGACCCCCAGCCAGAGAGGCCGCTAGCCCTGCCCAGACCCCACCCCGCCCATCTGCAAGGCGGCCCAGCCACTCCTGCAGGTCTCTGCTGCCACCTGGTGGCCACTGAGGAACCAGCTGAGACCCAGCCAAAGAGCAGGTGTGGGAGGCAGGGTGACTTGAGGGGGGCCCAGTCCCAACCGAGCAGTTACAGGGGCTTAGCTGGGGCTCACAGGCTCAAGTTCCGCCTACCAGGGTGGGTCCTAACGCCTGCATTTTGAGGCTCTGTGACCCAGCCAGAGTAAAGGATGCCGCGATCCAAGACAACTGAGAACTGTGAGAACCAAACTTGGGGAGGAGGGACCTGTGACAGACACCTCTCCCGGGGGTGCCTACGGAGCCGGAGCAGGCGCTCGGCTTCTCAGAAGGTTTGGAGCATGGCTCGCCCAGCAAGGGAGATGGGGTGCACGTGTGACCCTTGGCCAGAACAGCCAGGTCGAGGGTGACCTACGGGAGTGTGGGGGGCATCCTAGACAAGAGAAGCCTTGTGGAGGGGGTCCATGCTACTGCCCCCTCTTTAGCAGACTCAGCATCATTCAGGGCTATGAATGGCTTTGTCCCGTGGGACTCCAAGCGCAAGAGGCAGCTTTTCATCCCCAGTTGACAGATGATAACACTGAGGCCTAAGAGGTGTCGTGACCTTTCCAAAGCACTGAGGTGCATTAGCAGGTACCCTAGAGGCCTGACCCCTCCCAGGCCAACAAGCCCTCCGAATGGAGCACAGATGAGATTCTGACCTCCAGTGGGTCTCCCTGCCTCCACTTCTGCCCACCTCTCACCTCCACCCCACAGCCAAGAGGATCCGTTTGTAGCATAAGTCAGACCACCTGTAACTGCTCTGCTGACAATCTCCACCAGGCTCAGAGCAGAGGCAGAGTCACTTCGACTCCATGTGAGACCTGGCACCAGCCGTCTCCAGTCCTCGCCACCTCCTATCATCTCCTCCACACTCTTCTCTTCGTCATGATGGACCTGACTTCCCCATGAGGGCAAGAAGCTCCACAGAGGCTGGTTGATCTGCCCACCTTCACACACGGGACCCTCCAGCATTATCTCAGTCAGGAGCAACCAGGTGAACTGAGGGTGAAGTGAAGAGCAAGTCAAAGCCGCTCAGTAGTGTCCGACTCTTTGTGACCCCGTGGACCACACAGCCCATGGAATTCTCCAGCCAGAATCCTGAGGGGATGGGGCGCAAAGGACGGGGCTGCAGCTGCAGGCCCTCCACAAGGTGGCGCCGAGAGAGTCCTCTCGCTATGGTCTTGACAATAAACACCGTTTCTACACGCCACAGACTGCAGAAACGAATAAAAGTAGAACCGTAGAACGGAGGCTTGAGTTTCCCAGTTCACGCGGGTGTCAGGGACTCCTGAGGGTCCGGCCTGGGCTTCAGAGCACAGAGGGACTGGCGGTGTGGGCTTCACCCCAGCTCCTCCAGCTCCGAGCCTGAGTCTAGAGCTGGCCCAGCTTCGCATCCGTGGAACAGGGCTAGTCTTGGGCCCCGTCCTCTTGGGGGTCTGAGGACTGGCTGAGATGACACGCAAAGCTGCCCGAAGCAGAGTCTGACAGACCTGACACCATCCAACACATTCTCTCCCACCGTCACTGTCTCGCGCTCCTGCTGCTGTTTGTATCTGTTATCTTCCCCTCTAAAGAAGGGGGAGCACGTGGGCCCCAAGGCTCCCCGATGCTCTGATGCCCCAGCACCCACGTCTGCAGGACGCTGCTCACAGACACGCTTCCGGGGACTCTGGGGGCTCCGCTCCCCGAGACGCAGACAGACCCCGCCCCCAGGGCCCCCTCACCTTGCCGGCAGAGGGCGCCGTGAGCCCCTGGGGCTGGAGGAAGATCAGGTCGGGCCCGGCGCGGGTGTGAGGCAGCTGAGCCCGGTAGCGCTGCAGAAGCGTGTTCAGGACACTGGACTCGTTGACACTGACGAGGGAGGCCAGGTCCTCAGCCTGGTCCAGCTCGGGGGGGTTGGCCTGCGAACCATCACACAGGGCGTCCTCTGGCCTCCTGGGCCCCCACACCACCACGACCACCACCACCAGGGTGTGCTCGGAGGACGTGTCCTCTGCTGCTTCCTTCCCTTCTGCATCTTGTCGGGGAGCTCTGCGTGTGCTCAGGGACGCTTAGGACGGAGGCCAATGCCCTGACTGCCCCACTTCTCTGACAGCCCGCCACACACTGTAGTTGGAAAGACTACATCTAAACCCTTCTAGAAGCAAGGAGTGACTGCAGCCTCTCCTTGGGGCGTCCATTTGAAAAGCTTCCTAGCACTGTTTCTGGCTCCCAGAAGTTTCCTGGGCCTAATGCTCTGTGGTGTGGGTCAGCCCTGGTCTTTTGTTGAGTCAGTTTTTCTTCTGAGGACACTGGCCCTCTGCAAACTCCCAGCACTAGTGGGAGGAGGGGGCCTGAGGTGGGCAGAGGAGGAGGGGAGGGGGTGAAGGTGAATGAGGCCCACAGGGAACGCCTGGAAGAAGCTCCTCCTCAGGTAGTAGATGTGAAGGGTGGAAAGCATCAGGACAAGACCTTTTACTTCTTTCATTAGATTCTGACTTATTCTCACAGATTCATGGTGTCGTACAAAAATTATGCAAAACAACCAAAAAAGCAGAACCAAACTAAAGGCTGATACCCAAAAGGCAGGTCACTGGAACCTGTCTCACAGCTAACGGCAAGCTGCAAATTTGGCTCTGAGTCCCCTGGCAGCCAGGGTGAAAAAGGAAGCATACCAAAGTCCATACAAAGGAAAACAATCCCTTTCTCCAGCAGAAGAATTCCCAGGCCCAAGATTTGACAAACATCTCTTAATGTGTCCTCATAAAGGGGACACCATGGCACAGAGCAATGAAACCCTTTAACAGGACACCTCTGGCAGAGCCGTGAGTTCAACGGTGAACTTCCCTACAGTTCCCCGCAGCACGCCGAGGGGAAGTATGCGGTGCAGTCAAGCACGAGGAACTCTCCGCAGCGGGTGGAGCAGGCAGGGCAGGCGGGGGCTCACCCGGTGAACGTGCTCCTCGCCCACCTCCGTGATGCTACCGTCCGCGTCAATGCACAGCCGCACCCTTCCTGCTGGCAGGTCTGCTGTTCCCTCGTCCGGCTTCAGCACCGTTGCTGGAAGACACCCCAGGAGTGGAGGGGTGCAGGGAGCGGGTGGGGGACAGCAGGGAAGGAGGGGAGGAAAGAAGAGGGAGGTGGGACAGGGGGAGGGGAGAGGAAAAAAGATGAGAAGAGAGAGGTTGTAAGCTGCTGAGTCAGGCCAGGGAGCAGGAGAGAGGACCTGGGACACAGTGGAAATGGGCGTAATCCTCTTCCTTGAGGGCCTATTTACAGGGAGGGTGCTGAATTGTGACCCCGAACCCGTGGAGGTTGGGGTCTGACAGGCTGGGTCTGACTCATCTGGGGCTTCTATCAGCTGGCACAGGCGCAGAGTTGGCAGCCAGATGGCTGGGCGCACTGTCCACCGCAAACCTAGACTCGGGAAGGCAAATAATGGCACACGGGCTGCTGCTCCTCCGCAAGAGCCCGCCAGACATCACTAGTCAATCACTCCTCCCAGCCGAGTTCTGAGCGGGACGCAGAGTCACTTCTCAGTAGAGTCTGGCCACCAGCCACAAGTAATCGACAAAGGTGGGTTCACGAGATGAGATCCACCTGCACTAGTTTCCAGACACAACTCTGCAGAAGCCAAACAATGCTTGTTGCTTTAATGAATTACCTAAATAATTAATCGCCAAGGCACAAATGCTTTTGAAAATAGCACCCAACAGACCAGCTGCTGAGAGTGAAATGACACCCAACTAGTCCCACTCCAAAGCCATGTCTCTGCAACCTAGTCCTGGCTGCCCCGACCCCTCCCTTCCCCTCAGTCCCCAGATTATGATCAGGACCTGGCACATACAGCGGCCAGCACTGGGGGCGTGAGAGGGAGACTCAGACCCCAGGTGCGCTAACACCCCTAATTACCAAGAGTGAATCCATCCTTCTGAACCAGCCAGACCTTCTCTGCCTCGTACCATCTGTCTTCAGGAGCCTGAGGGCAAAGGTCACATAAATTAGCCCAAGAGGATGAACCCTCCCCCACCGCTGTGTGAGGGGCAGACCCCTAACATGGGCATTTCTCACAGTTTGCCTGACACCAGCTAAAGCAGAATCCCCCAGTGTGAGTGGGGTGCTTACTTAAATGCAGAGACCATGGCCCCACCCTAGCCTTCTGAAAGGGAAGCTCCAGGGTGGGGCCCAGGAATCTGAATCTTGAGCAATCTGCCATTTATACAGCTCAAAGAACTACCTGTGACCTTGTAAGCTCAGTGGCGAGGGGACACCTCTCATGGCTGGGACACTGCCTCACTCTGTGGAAAATCTCACCCTGGGGCAGGTCAGATTCCCCTGCAGGGCCTCCAGACCCCTGCTTGTTGAGGGGGACGTGCCTGGCCCCTCCTCTGGGCTGGCCGCCCCTCCACTCCTGTCCGTCTCCTGTCCCCGCCTTGTCCACCCCCGGGACAAGCCTTTCCCACCCCCCTCCTCTGGCCTGCGCCTCCCCGCCTGCCGGAGCCCCTCACCTGCCCCGAAACTCCACTCTGGCCTCCTCTGCTCTCCTCCTGGCTCCCCGTCGGCCTCTGAGGCTTCTCCGCATGGCCCTCCAGAGCAGGCTGCCCAGGGCCTCCCGGCTCCCTCTGCAGGGCCCCGGCCCCATCGCCTGCTCCGGGGCGGGGCTCCTCTGCCTTCTGTCGTCTGCTCTCAGGCTGGTCCTCCTTACCAGCTATTGTCGGGGTAGCCCCATGTGCATCCACCTCCTTGGGGGCTTTATCGTCCTTCTCTGCCTTACCCCCAGCCTTACCCGCCTCTGCAGAGGCGCTCTGAGGTGGCCCCATCTTTTCCATCTTGCCTGGGGGCTCACCTGCTTTCCCAGTCCTGCTCTGAGGCTCACCTGTCTTGTCCATGGCTCTGGGAGCCTCCCCCCGCTTCCCTGGCACTTTGCCAGTCTTCTCCGCCTTGGTCTGAGGCTCCTCCGTCTTGTCTGACTTACTCAGGAGTGCACCTTCTTTGTCCTTCTTACACTGGGGACTGTCCCACTTGCCCCTTCTGCCCAGGGAACCTCCCCACCTTCTCACCGGGGCTTGGGCCCCAGCCCACTTCCCTTCACCTGCTGCATCCTTGGAGAGACTCCCCTTTGCCCCCTTGTTTAGGGGATCCCCTGCCCCCTTCTCCGCTGCCCCTGGTTGACCCCCGTCCCCCGACCCCTCTTTGCCCTGGAGCTCCCCCTTTGTCACCCCTTTGGTCTGGGGGGCCTCGCCCCCTTTTCGCACTGTGCCTTGATCCTTCTCCCCTTTTGTCAGCAGCACAGTTCCTGGGTCCCCAAGGCCCCCAGTCTGCGTCTTCTCAGCCTTCGGAGGTGCATCTGTGGTGCTGGCCTGGGGGCCACGAGGAGTCCCTGGGGTGTCCCCCTCCTTTCCCCCTCCAGGATCCGTGGCTGGGGATGGGGTCTTGGAAGCAGGGGCATCGCGGGGCTGGGTCCTCTGCTCTGGCTTGGCGGAGTCCGGGTCCAGCTTGGCCACCATCAACAGCACGTCACCCCTCCTCACCCCTCTCTTGAAGGGCAGGCTTTTTTTGGCGGGTGTCCCACTGGAGCCTGACTCTTGGGGCTTCTCGCCATTGATGGTCATCAGCACAGGGTCCATGGTCCCAGACTCCTCGCCCTTCCTGCCCAGAATGTCTGTGCTCTGGGGGGAGCCTGACTGGACGTTCTGGCTCCCAGGCTTGGTGCCAGTGCTGGGCTGGCCAGCAGAAACCTCTGGGATCTAGAAGAGACACCACAAACGTTCTCAGCTGCGTGCTGACCAGACGGCTTTGTCATTCACTCATTCAGTCATTCACTTCTTTAATCACCCAGCCATTCATTCCCTCAAATACCCTCAAGCACCTAGGGGCAATGAGCCAAACCTCAATATCCTACATCCTAGACCTTGGCTCAGAACTTGAAGGCCAAGTGACATTATGAAAGGAAAGTGGACTTTGGAACCCAACAGACCCAAATTCACTCCAAACTCTGCCACTAACTAGCTGCGCGGCCTTAGGTAAATCGCTTCCCCTCTCTGAGCCAGTTTCTTTACCAATAAAAGGAAAACCATGATGGCCTCTCAGGGTGGGCGGGCGGGCGGGCGGCTTCACACTAACATGCAGACTGAGCCCAGCACCTACCACATCCTCAGCAACAGGAGCCACCGTTGCTATTGTCACTGATGCTCTATTATTTGCACCTGATTCTTCCTGTTGGGCCAGGGAGGGATGGGAAAGGATGCGGAGCCTGTGTGGCCTTGGATAACATCACCTATCCTCTCTGAGAATCGGGTTTCCCTCAGTGCAGGCAGACACCACCTGGCCCTCCAGAGTTTTTGCATGCCGAGATGTGGAAATTTCAGAGACCTGAACAAAACGAGCAGCTGCCACTGCTCCTGTTGCAGCAGGTGAGGGTCCTCTTTGGCCCCAAGGTCCTGCANCCCTGCGCACCCAAACCAGGCCCAGGATTGCGCTGAGTCCACCTGCACACCCGAGTCGCCTTTCCCAAACCCAGGTCTACTCTCTTTCACCTGGGCACTGCCACAGCCACTGAGCTGGTATCCCATCAGTTTGCTGCCAGTCATTTAAAACCTGGTCAAAGATTTTAGCAGCTGCCCAATCTCCAGGAAAGCCATTCAACACAGCCATCTGCCGTTCGAAGCTGTTGAAGAGGAACCCCCCACCCCTCTGCCAAATGGTCTCACTGTCCCTGCTCCCCTGCACGTTTCGGCCACACCTGACACTGCCCAGCTTCCGTGCTTTCGTTCACGTTGGGACTGCTGCCTGGAACACCCTTGCCCATCTCCACTCATCCCTGCTCAACTCATCCTTCTATACCCAGCTCGAATGCCCCCTCCTCAGCAAGTCTGTGCCTGAAGACCTGGATCAGAAAAACGGCCTCGTGGACTCTGAAGCCCCAGAGCTCTGTATGTTTCTGCAAGTTTGCAGCAGGACCACATTCCGCATCCCATTCTAGCTCTGACTGGTGTTGCCTCCAGAGCACAGTCTCAATCCTCAGCTTTGTAAAATGACAATAGTAATACACATAATGATAATGACGTGTTACTATCAACCTTGAGGAAGACCCTACATGGCCATCCTGCGATATCTGACTTATGCAATAAAGAACCCAGTGAAGCATGTTCTGAACTTCTCCCCATTCCACAGATAAGGGAGCAAACACAAAGATGTTAGGTGGCTCAAGAGACAAACATGGAACAAAAAGTCACACAGGCCTCTCTGAGTGTAAAGACAGTGCCCTTAACTGCTGAGCATTAACAACCTTGCTTGTCTTTCTGGGACTCACTAGAGTCCCCTGGGAGCTTTTAAAAAATTTCTGACCATTTGGTTAGAATCCCAGAGGATCTGATGCAGCCGGTCTGGGTGGTGGGCCCCTGGGAGACTGCAATATGCAACAGGGGGCTGAGACCCCATGACCTGGCGGCTCAGTCTGACCTTCTGGGGCCAAGCAGGTCACCATCTTGGAAGGGAACTGGCTGTACCTGGCAAATCTCACAACTGTCTACACTGTTTTGAAAAGTGAGTCAGTGATTTATTTTTAAAACCAAACCCCCACAGAGGAGACAGTAATGCAGGGATGCACCTGACAAGATAACCCATCCCAGCCTCCTCCCCTCCCTGCTGTGCATTCCCCTCCTGTGGATTTTCTTGGTCACCGAGGCCCTCAGATCTCACCTGCAGCCTCCTAGTCTAAGGGGGAAGCAATACTTCTAGAATCATGGGGGCCAAGAGGAAGCTCACAGCACCATCTTACAGATGGGCAAACTAAAGCTGAGAGAGTGGGTGGGACCTGGCCTGGAGCACGCAGAGAGGTGGGGCCAGAGCTAGAACCTGGGCCTCCATCATTTGATCTCTTCCTGTTGGATGTTATTCCTGTCTCTCCCTGCCCCTGGATGACTGGGTGGCCTTAGGAAAACCAGAGCCTCATTTCCATTCCTGCAAAATGGTGATGGATGCTAATGACTCCCTTCAAGGACTCTATGAGGGCCAAATAAAACCAGCAGTGCTGGGTGAGGGGAGAGGGGCCAGAGTTATTTAGTGATGGAGCAGGAAAATTAAACTGGCAGGAGCAAGCCAGGGCCTGCTGCCTCACAGGAACATGTCCTGAGGCTGCCCTGCTTCAGGCCCAGGAACATCTTGGCCAGTGGTCCAGACACCTGTTGTGGTCTTAAGGCCTGTCCATCCTGCTCAGAGGTGCCTTCCACGCCCTGCAGTGACAGCCTGTCCCCATCTGCTGCTCAGCTCTGCTTCTTAACCTGCACACAGCAACGCTCACACAGCTTACAGGCTCCTGGAACCCTTTCCTCGCCAGGCCACTGTGGCCGCCACACCAGCCATCTCACTCCCCAGACTGGGCCTTTCTTTCCCAGGCAGCTTGCCAGAGCAGAGGACACACAGCCTCTGGCTCTGTCTGCCCCCATGTGGCCTCATGACCTTGAGCAAGTAAGTGCTTTAGCCTCTCTGAACCTCAGTCTCCACCTCTGATAAGTGGGTATAATCCCACCTACCCCCGTGTTGTACGGGGTATCAAGCGAGCCCCTGAGCAGACAGTGAGTCCTGCCAAGTGAGAAACAGAACATCCTGACCGCTAACAGCAGCTGGTAGGAGGCCAAAGACCCCACTTAACTGATGCCTGGTCAGGCAGGTGTGGGAACAGTCTCTCCACCCCGTCACCTTCCCCCACGAGCTCGTGGCAGGGGTGTTTCAGCAGCTCCATGGCTAGAGGACTGCCCTGATGCAGCACAGTCACTGGAGTTGGACAGGGGCAGGCACATGGGGGACCGGCCCGCCAAGCAACAGCTGAAGGGGTGTGGGAGGCAGAGCCAGGCTGGCCACTGGGCCCAAGCCAACTCCAGGCTCCAGATCTTTCAGCCCCATCACCAAAGTATCCACTCCACCTCAAGAGGGCACAGCAGAGACGCAAGGAGAGGCCCTTCCTCTGACACCGTGATACGCCCCAGGTGCACAGCAACCCAAGCCTGCTTCCCTGGTGTCCAGCTTCACCATCCTGCCAGGGGCTCCTGGCCCAAAGAGCTGGGGGAAGAAGGGAGGCGGCCCTGGACGCCAACCGGGATCAATCTGCAAGTCCTGAAAGCACAGGGACTGCACCTCGTCCACTCATTGCTTCCATCCAGCAGTGCTGTTCAGATCAGGTGGACACCAACCAATCAGAGGGAGGCCATCTGAAGCAGGGGCCTGGGGTCCCCTCCTGTGCCAAGCAGTAACCCTTTAATTACTGGCTTGTGGCCATTCTGAGGGATTTGGGGAAGGGACCCAGGTGAGCATGGCTGCTGGAAGGCGCCTGGGGGACTTGGGCCCGTGGCCATGTACCACCTGGGATAGAAGGGTTTCAGTATTTTAACAACCAATACAGCAATAACTGGTCAACACCAACTGAACATCTTTCCTGCTTAACTGAAAGCAAACTACACATCCTTAGCTAATACTTAGTTTTCACTTTCTGCAAAAGTAGTGGTCAGTGATCCCCATCATACATCAACTAATACCATTCATTCATTCACTCAACAAAAATTTCTGAGCATACACCATGGGCCAAGTTCTATGAGAGTTGCTCGAGATACAGAGTTGGATGAGACAGTTGCTGCTCTTAAGGAATTCCCAGTCAAATAAGTCACATGATCAAGTAATTACTCTGCTGACCAAAATCAAGACAGGCATAGAGGGGGAAGTGGAAATGAGAAGAAAGGTAATGGGAGAGCTTTCTAGAGATGTACCATCTGAGCTGGGTTTTGACGGATGTACAGGAGTTCAACAGATTATGTTAAAGGTAGGATACTCGTCAATGGGGGGACTGCAGGAACAAAGGCTGGCAAGTGACTCAGAGGAGGCTCGCGGGACAGGAGGGTGGGTGCTGACAGTCACCTATTCCTTTTCTGGGCCTTTTCTGGGCCACTTTTGGGGCCACTTACCTCTCGTTCCGGAGAGGCAAGAGCTGCCTCTTTCCTCAGTCTAGCTTCCTTGGACTCTTTCTCAGTCTCTCGGACCAGCTGCCTAATGAAGCCCCCTGGGATGACAGAGAAAAGGGGAGGGGGCGAGGACGGTGGAGGGCTCTTGTCCTCTTCCCGAATCTGTTTGGCAGAAGCAAGGAACGAGAGAGCTCAGTGAATGAACCAGCAGGGGCAAACTGTCCTTTAAGAGTCTTGGACGGAGCTGGGGAGGGGGCCGAGCGGACACCAAGTCCACGTATGACAGGCCACAGCAAAGCTGGCAAAGCCCTGGGAAGCCTCGAGACAACAGGTGAAAATGGAACACTCAAGCTTGAGGCTGCCCCAGGCAGTGCCGTCTCGGCCTGGATCCAGTTTCCTTATAGTATGGATTCACACGGTGGAGCCCACTGGGACCCTTCCTTGGTGTGGGTACCCTTCCCACCTCTGGGAAGACCTGCTTCAAAAGGAGCTTTTCCGGTTTCCGGAAGGGGACGGGTCACAGGGAACCACCCACACTCTCTGGTCCCATCTCAGTCTGTGGTAAATAGACTAAGTAATTCACCACCTTAATCACTTCCTGTGCCAGGAGCATGGTGAGGGGGGGCAGGGCTGGCAGCCACGGTTCATCTAAGGATCCAGCCCTATGGCTATAGCCCACTCCATTGACCCCATGCCCTGACTCCTTGATGGTCCTTAAACCAGGACCTGGGCAGCCAGGGACTCCCCAACACTAGGCTGGAAAGCTTGCATTTTACCCAAGAAACATGGTGCAGGCCAGCGCTGGCTGGACTTGGGTTGCAACTGAGACTTGCCACCTTGGAGGTAGAGAACCTGGAACTGGATGTGATCCACAGGGGTTTGTCTTTACCCAGCATCACTGTGATTGCTCATGAGTTTAAAGGAAAAAAAAAAAACCTCCAAGCATTCTATGGCAGAGCTACACACTGGTTTAAAAGAAGCTCCTTATCAAGGTCCTCCCTGAGGGGCTGGCAAAGACTTGATCTCCGCAGCCCCGTTGATAAAAGGGAAGCTACAGGAGAAAGGAAACACCAGGAGACAAAGCAGAGGCCCAGAGATAAGGCAGGCCTCTGCCCAGGAGGAGAGAGCAGGGGACACAGGAGGCTAGGCTGTTTCCCCCTGCCCCTCTCCACGTGGACTGAAACCCATGCTGTGAGAGTGAAAGGCACGCTCTTGGGCAGGTGTCATCCCGCTCCCTCCAGCATCAGTCTGCCACATCAGATCAGCAAGGGGCAGAGGCAGCCATGAGGCACTTCTCAACCACCCCACCCTTCAGTCTCTGATTCAAGATTCATCAGATCACGTGCACAAAGGTGGGGGTGAGGCACAGAGATAACAGGCATAAGAAGAAAAAGGCAGCCCTTCACGGATTCTTACAACAAAGACCACAGGGAAAAGAGCCATCAATGGGGAGAAGAGCCTGTCTCCAGTTCTCCATGGGTGACAGAAGGCAGGGACCTCAGAAACCTATCCCCCTGGCATAAGCCTGGCAGCCAGCAGCCCTGCCTCTGGTCCCCCCACTTTCCCACCCACGCTCTCCCACACAAACCCCCGTGCTCATCAGAGCTGCCATGAGGATGGTGCTGGGACAGTTGGTCTGCCTTCATTCCCCACCATCACCTCCTGATGGACAGAGACCAGCAGCCACGGGGGAGTCAAGGGCACGGTCACTAATGCCTGGCGAGGCTAGAGACGCCATGGCTAACTGAGGCGGAAGACGGAAGGGAGCCTGGACATGCACCAGGGGAGCTCTGGATGCCAGACCCGCTGCCTGAGGCGGGCGGGGGTAGCCTGAGACGGCAGGGCCAGGACGCGTCCTTGGAGGATCCGGCTGGCCCCTGAGGCTGCAGCCCGAGCCCTGGGTGCTACTTTCCTTCTGCTCCCACAGGGCGAGGCGTGATGAGATGGCCATGCTGAGGCAGTGCCAGGACCGTGAGGTGAGACGAGACGAGATGAGATGGAGCTCTCCGACAGGCAGCACGGAATGCAGCTTTATGGAGACAGGCAGCGCATGAGGTGATGAACAGAGACTGACCCATGGAGACACAGTAGGGGGAGAAGAGAGAGACAGGTTAGCTCGTGGGCACCGCCCAGCACCCACCCCCTCCGATGCCAGGGACCAGGCCAGGCACAGCTCACTGTCATTTACATCTGGGAGGAATATGGTCAGCAGAGAGCTGCTGGCTATGGAGTGGACAGTGCCCTGAAATTCTTGTCAACACTGACCCCACACTTTTAAATTTCTCTTGACGTATACAGCCAGAAAAGTATGTACTTGTAAATGTATAGCTCAGTGGCTCTCACATAAAGAACACAAGGATAGAACCAGCCCTGTGACCAGATTAAAACTATTAAACTTTTAAAATAAAAACATGGTGTTATTTTCAAATATATTAAATTTCAACTTAAAATATTAAAAATAATCTTAATTAAAATTATAAAATAAAAATAATTTTGATTAAAAATTTTTTAAAGTACATTTTAACTTGAAATATTCTTTTATGTATGATTATAGTATATAAATTGGAAGGACTGATGCTAAAGCTCCAATACTTTGGCTAGCTGGTGTGAAAAGCCAACTCACTGGGAAAGACTGAGGACAGGAGGACAAGGGGGCAACAGAGGATGAGATGGTTGGATGGCATCATCAACTCCATGGACATGAGTTTGAGCAAACTCCAGGAGATAGTGGAGGACAGGGAAGCCAGGCGTGCTGCAGACCATGGGGTCACAGAGTCAGACACAATGAGCGACTGAACAACAACACAGTGTATAAATATTATCTAGATATAGAAATATTGTAAATAAAATAATAAACATGCAAATCTAATCTATAGCAATGGAGGTGAGAGGAGTTATTAGGGTTCAGCTGGGAAGAAGCACAAGGGGAACTTTCTAGGAAAATGGAAATGTCTTATATCTTGATACGAGCTGTGAAATGTGAAGCTAAATGGAGTCACTTATGTCAAGGGGTTTTACAACATAGTTGGCAGGCCATTAAGAAGGTGTACCTCATACACGTCCTCCCCAACTGCAACCACAGAATTTCAGAACTGGTGCAAACGGAGGTATTACATGGACTCTGCAAGAACCCCTGAGGTTTGTCTCCGTGAGGAACTTTGACTTCCCTCAAAGTGACAGCCTCAGTGCTCAGTCACCTTAAGGAAGACCAGCTTTGGCCTCCAACATCAATTACACTTCTTTGTAATGCAAACCTCCCCTTAAGCCTTTAAAAGTCCCTGAATTTTACTCCCCAGCAAGACACTGCTTTGCAATCAGAATCTGTGTATCTCAAAATGCAATTCTTTAATACCAAATAAAATTTTTTTATTATTTCCTCCTAGGTTTATTTAGGTTGACAGAATGCTGGTTACACTAGTATATCACATGTAAAAATTCATTCAGTTGTACAACTAAGATAGAATATTTTACTGTATAAAATTATATCAATTTTAAAAACAGAACATTATCAGCTCATGACAAACCCCCCTTCTAGTAAGTATTCCACATCCCCGCCCCCCCAACACAGAGCAGCCACTCTCCAGCAGATTTCTGAAATCACAGAAAAGTGTGTGTTTCTTTTGTGAGGGAGTAATTGGCTATATAATTTGACCATGAAAATGAGGAAAGTGCAGGAAACCTTGGCTATTTGACTGAGAGCTTTGAGGAAAAGATTAAGCATTTTTAGCATCATTTTCAAAACTTTAACAAACATACACAACTTTTGACCTAGAAATTTCTCTTCTGAAAAACAAATTGAGGAAGTGATACTCAACCAGAAAACGTCATCACTGTGTTGCGTGTAGGACTAAAAATCCTAAAAGTGAGAGTTGCTCACTTATGTCCAACTCTTTGGGACGCTGTGGATTATACAGTCCATGGAATTCTCCAGGCAAGAATACTGGAATGGGTAGCATTTCCCTTCTCCAGGGTATCTTCCCAACCCAGGGATCGAACCCAGTTTTTCAACATTGCAGATGGATTCTTCACCAGCTGAGCCACAAGATAAGCCCAAGAATACTGGAGTGGGTAGCCTATCCCTTCGCTAACAGATCTTCCCGACCGAGGAAATCGAATCAGAGTCTCCTGCATTGCAGGTGGATTCTTTACCAACTGAGCCTCCAGCAACTAGAGAAGTCGAATAAATTAGTGCACATCCCAGTTGAAGGAATAGTATGAATCCCTGAAAAGGATGCTTAAGAACATTTTATTAATAAAACGACTTTATCCATCCCATTGTCAGACTTCTAGAAGGATAGCATCAATAAGAACCTGCTGAAGAGAGTTTAATGGTCTCTTTCCAAAGTATAAACAGAAATGTCCCGGGGGAAATGTAAATCAGCAAACCCAAAGTGGAAAGAACCTGTCAGTCTCAGATCCAGGTATAAAATAAAAGATTAAACTGTTAAAAATAAAAACCGCTTCACCGAGGTATAACTTCTATGCCTGCCATAAGCTTCATTCATTGTAAGCACACACTTAGATGCTTTTTGATAAACTTAAGTTTTTAAAAATAAATTTACACTGCTTTGCAACCCTCACCAGAATCATCCCCTAAAGACCCTTCATGCCTATTTGCAGTCACTAACTGTTCTCACCCTCAGCCCCAGACTTCTGATATAGATGGAATCCTAGAGAATGCAGTATTTCACATGTGGCTTCTTTCATTTTGCATGTTTTTTAAGGTTTTTCTGCATTGTTGTGTACATCAGTATTCCATTTTTTACGAATAAACCACATCCTCTTTATCCATTCACCAGCTGATGGGCATTTGTGCTGTTTCCACTTTGGGGCAAGATGAATTATGCTGCTATGAATAGGCCTGTAAGTCTCAGAGTGCTGTTTCCACTTGGTGCCCATGTGTTTCCACTTCTCAGGGAGATTCCTAGGAGGTGGCACTACTGGGTTGTCTGCTAACTTTATGTCTGACTTTTTAAGAAACAGTGCAACTGTCTTCCCATCCTGCCTGCAGTGTCTCAGGTTCGACTGGAAACATTTGCAGTCACACTGGAAAGTGCTAGTGTTGGCTTGTAAAGACGGTGGAGGGCAATATGGGGCATGCGCATTGTACACACTCCAAAACGGGCAAGTAACAAAGCACTCCACACAGAAAATGAAGAGCCCTTCCACATGCTCAAGTCCTGCAACTGAAAATTCCACCAAGAGTGTATTAAAAAAACTGGGGGGCGGGGGGGAGATAATATCCAGAAAGTTCCAAAAAGCAAAAGTTGAATTTGCTGGGCCCTGACAACTATTTACACCGTATTCACATTTACATTGTATTTATATAGCATTTACTTCATGTTTATAAATGCTGACAGCATCCGCATTGCATTCGATATTATTAGCAATCTTGAAAGGGTTAAAAGTATACGAGGAAAACTGTGCTGGGTTATAGGTAAACATTACTCCTTTTTATATAAGGGACTTGGGCCTCCACGGATTTTGGTATTTGTGGGGGTTCCTACAATCAAACCCCTGGGGATACCCAGATCTTAAACGATACACCAAAATCTTAGTGAAGGGGGTCAAGAGGGGGAGGAAAAGGCCTCTTTCCTCGCCCTTCGACTTTTCTCACTTCTAGCTGTGAGTAGGGTCCCTCATTGCCCGCTCCTGGAAGAGACCCCAGCCCCTCATCTCCGACTGTCAAGAGTTACTATGGTTCACGAGTTTTCAACGGCCCCTTTAGCCTGTCAGTAGCTGTTGTCAGTAACTTATCCACAAGAAAACAGCCAGAACAGCATTCCAAGCACTCTCTCCTTAGGCAGTGAGAGCTGCACATCCGGGGAGTTGATGAGACGGCTCTCGCGAGGCTGCGCTGAGGAGAACCCATCTCGCGAGACCCCACGGTAGCCCTTGCTTTATAACCCCGTGCGAGAGGACGTCGACTCCGATTATTCGCGAGAACACACTGTGGCCCTAGCTTTCCAGGTGTGTAGCGTGGGGCGACGTCACGCCCACTCCCACTATCTCGTGAGATCCCATCGGGCTCTGGTTTACCGGCCCCGCGTGAGGTGATGTCAAGAGAATCTCATCATCTCGCGAGAGCCTATGGGCTTTCCAACTCCGCAGAGGGTTGCTGTCACGTGATAGCTTGAAATCAGCGCAGGGAGTGTTTACACTCTAGAATCTGGGAAAAATCACAAACCGGGGCTGTTACCCCTAGAGCCAGTCCGTTAAGCACTGACCAGCCCAGCACTGGCTGACACAGTAGCGCTCCTGCAGGGCCTGGCAAGGGTGAACTCACAAGAGCCAAAGACTGAACAAGGGATATTTCAGCTCTGACGAGGTCAGGTGCCCACGGGAGACCTGAAAACTCGTTCAAGTGCAACAGCCAAGTCTTTGCATAAGAAAAAGACCCCATAGTGTGGGCTCTCCCGCTTGCAAAGGCATGTGAGGTTGAGCTGGAGAATAAGCGGGAGACCAGATCCCTGGGGAGAGGGGAGAGGGGCGCGGGGGGAGAAGAGGACAAAAGACCCTCTTCCCGACTCATTCCCTTAGGAGACACTGGAGCGTCCCCGAGTGACTCACAGCCATAATCCGCTCTGCTACACGCCTGGGCAGCCGGAGCCCTGGTTATGAATAGGCCTGACGTGAGGTGGCTGCCCTGGTCACTGCCCTGCCCGACTCCCAGCACTTCCCATCCGCCCCCGCCAGGTCAGTGGCTGCTTCCCAAGAATAGCCCTCGGCTTCAAGGCTCCAGGGGGAATCCTGGCTGATGGTCTGGGCTGTCCTCAGCCGGGCCGTGGGCGGGCCCAGAGGGCCGTAGCACATGGGGGCAACGAGGCCTCAGTCTCTGCCTTTACTCCTCGCGTCCTGCCCCTCAAAGGCACCAGGCCAGCCCCACTGACCTAGGATCAGGATCCAACCCTACTGGGGAGGCTTTGTCAAGCCTTAATTTAAGCAAGTGTTCTTATCACGCATTCTCATCCAGGCCTGAAACTCACACCTGCCTCATCAGCTGCCATTTTAAGCCCATGAAGAGGCCCCAGATGCTCTGAATTCATGGGATGAAGTCTCAAGTCTCCCCTCAGGGGTGAGGAGGGCTGGTGAAAGGAAAGGTCACTCCCAAAGCCAGGGATGGCTTGAAATAGTTTTCCATGTAGACATGCTGGTATGAGTGGCCTCAAGGCTTTCCCTCTCACCCCTCAAGGTGCAGCCTTGACCCAGCAGCTAATCCTCCAATGACTTCACCTGTCTCAAAGGACAAATTCGCGAGTCTTCTCTGACTTACAGAGCCTTTGGGGTCACCCTTGTTCCTCTGCTTCAGTGACACTGACCTGGATGCATCCCTCCACACGGGTTCGCACCTCAAGGCCTTTGCACATTCTGTTCCCTCTGCTTCACACATGCCTTCTGCATGGCTCACATCTTCACCTCCTTCAAGTCTTTGCTCAGAGTCATCTTCTTGATGATCCTGCCTTCACCATGGACCCATTCCACCCTGTCCCAGGGCCATTCATCATCTGATTTTGCTCTTTCCCCCGCAGCACCAACTCACTGTCCATCGTGCTGTGTGTTTCTGGTTTAGTTTTTGACTCCTCGTGCAGAACATGGCCACTAAGAGGTGCAGCATTTCCATCTGTTCTGTTCACATATGTGGCCCCAGAGCCTAGAACAGTGCCTGGCACATACTTTGCTCTCAATGCATATTTGCTGAATAAGTGAATGAAGGAATGGATGGATAATTAGAAGTGTAGCTGGCAAGGGACAGAGCAGGCCATTGCCAGCAAGTCTACGGCAGGGATTTCTGATGCCTGATTTCTGTGCCGTCTGTATCTGCATCTCTTATCATGGCCCAAGTTCATGTCCTGCTGCCACTACTACCTTGTGGGAGCCTAGGAAGTTCTGTGAGACTCAATTTTCTCAGCCCTAAAATGGGAAGAGGACAGCCACATACCCACGTGCTTAATCACTGATAACTACTTGCAGTCGTCTTTTCATCTTTGTTTGACTCCACGGTCAAAGTCAGCCTGGAGACCCCAGCCCAGGACCCAGAACTGGATGATTCACCCACATTGAGGGAGAACCTACTCTGTGCCAAGCACTGACATAGAAACCTTACACCTAAACTGCTCTCAGCCCCCTTAAATTCCTACTGGACCTGAAATTTAATGATCTTAAAATCCATTATCCCATTTCATCCCCAAGACAGCAACCACATGGTTGGCATCACTCCAGTAGAGCAGAGACTCAGATAAGTTGAGGCACTTGCCTGAGCTCACCTGGCAAGAAGGTCGAGCTCTTTCCTCTCAGGATGCTGACCAATACAGCTGGGAGGCAAGTAGTCTTCAACTCATCAATTCTGATAGAGGGGTAGCTGTGTCTGGAGTGTTATTCAGGAAGGACTCTGAGCTTCCGTCTGGGCTCGGAGGGGAAAGGGTGATCTGATTGATTATTAATGTCTGCCCTGGGTGTAGAATGAGGGAATGATGACTGCTGCTTGCTATCTAGAGGCTAAATGGGCAAAAATGACTCATGATTTGTACATGGTTCAGCCAGTCTCACTCAGACCTTGTGTCTGGTGGTCACAGAGCCAGGTGGGAATGAAAAGGGACCTGGTCAGCACACAGGCCCCCTCCCCTAATCAGGGCAAGAGAACCCCACAGTCAGCAAGTGGGTGAGGATTCAGGCCACTCACAACAACCCACATCCTCCTAGAAGAGGAGAACAGGGAGGGGGATAAGTGGGAAACAAAGGTAGGGAGGTTAACAGAAGGAAAGAGAAAGTGTGAAGAGACAGGGCAGGCTAGAAGGAGGGTGGGCAAGGCAGGTGAGGTCTTGATATGGGAAAGGATGGACAGGAGAAGACTAGCAGGATTCATCTTCCATAAGAGAGGCTCAGAGGCCCAGCCCAGCTCACAAGGAACTTCCTGGATGGAGGACTGATCAGTGCCCCGTTGGTCACAGCCAGTGCTGGGGAGCTCAGTACGAGGTGGGACACTCGGGGTCTGCTCTAATTGCTTTTTTCTTAGAGCAGACCTGCACAGTCCTCGGAGGCCAGAAGACCCGCCTTCCCCGGTCCTGGCCCCTGTCAAGCAGGGCAAGGAAGGGACTCTGCTGAGGACTCAGCTCCCACAGCAGCGGAACCAGGGTCCGCGTCTCCCAGTGCCCGGGGTCTGCCTCTTCTTCCCTCCTATCCAGAGAGCTAACCTGCCAGCATGACCACGTGCTGGCCCCGGTGCTCCTCTCTGGAGCACCACATGGGGATCCACCTATGACGCCCACGGGATCCACCCCCAGTTTTCTCATCAGGCGCCTTCAACCATTTCCCAGGTGAGAGATTTCTCATGGCGCCCAGATCCCGCAGAATACCGGTTAGGTGTTTCCTGTTGCCACAGTGAAGCAAGAGGCTGGTCAGGCTTCTGCTGCAAGGCTTCCCTGACTGTCTTCAGGGTTTGATTGCTCCATCATGTGGCTGTCTTCCTACTCCTGCTGTGTTGCTACCTGGAGCCTTGCTGTCTAATACAGAGCCATTAGCCACACTGCTCCTGCTGTTTAGTCCCTAAGTCTGACTCTCTGCACCCTCATGGACTACAGTCTGCTACATTCCTCTGTCCATGGGATTCCTCTCCAGGCAAGAATACTGGAGTGGGTTGCCATTTCCTCCTCTAGGGAATCTTCCTGACCCAGGGATCGAACCCAAGTCTCCTGCATTGGCAGGCAGGATCTTCTACCACTGAGCCACTTGGGAAGCCCCATTAGCCATGTGGGGCTATTTAAATGTAAACGAATGTAAATATCAGCCTCTTAGTTGCACTGGGCACTTTTCCTGTGCTTGTCATGTGACTAGTGGCTACCATGTTGGATAGCACAAATACAGAACATGTTTATTATCAAAGAAAGTGCTGTCGGACAGGATGAGACTAGATGAGGGTTTTCAACAGGTGGTGACTGTGTCCACTCACAGGCATTTGGTGGTGCTAGTGGAAAAGGACACTCCTGCCAGTGCAGGAGATGTAAGAGATGCAGGATCAATCCCTGGGTCGGGAAGATCCCCTGGAGGAGGGCATGGCAACTCACTCCAGTGTTCTTGCTTGGAGAATCCCATGGACAGAGGAGCCTGTCGGGCTACAGTCCATGGGGCTGTTGTAAAGAATCGGACAGGACTGAAGCGACTTGGCATAAAAGCATTTTTGGTTGTCACAACTGGAAACAGGGTACTAGTGGGTAGAGGCCAGGAATGCTGATAAACAGCCTACATTGCTCAGGACAGCTGCCCCCATCCCCACCACAACAAAGAATTATTCAGTCCCAAATGTCACTAGTGCTGAGGTTAAGAAGCCCTGGTCTAGGAGAATCATGTCAAGTGGAGAGGAGCAGTAAGAGGGGGAAAAAGAAAAGAAAAAGCAAAATAATCTTGCTTCAGATACATAGATATGACATAGAAAGAACTGAGGAAATGAGTCAACCCACTGCTGAAGAAAAATAGGAGAAGTCACTCCTGGATCCATCGCCACTTAGTGGCTCTGTGGCCCAGGGCAAGTCACTAACCCTCTCTGATTCTCAGATTTCTGGATAAAACAGATAGTATCAGGCCCCCTGCTAGACTGTCAATGGATTAAATGA